GCGGCTCGTACTGGCGAAATGAACGTCAAATCGGTAGCTTACGTTTATTGCTCGCGTCCATCCCAGTGCTCGGCTCCGAGTCCGTCCATATCTGGCCACTGTCTGTCGTGCTTTGCGCTATACAATAGACGACGGAATTCTCCTGGTAAGCTCTCATGGCCAAGATCGCTTGCTTCCCAGCTTCCCTGCCCTGCTTCAGTCGCTCGTCCGCTCCGTCGGCCAGACGAACTGTCGCCGGCTCCACTCGTCGGATGGAGATCCGCAGCTCGAGTCCCGTGATCTCATTGTCCGAGCTCCTTTGGCTCGAGTGGTTGGCTTCTGTTAACACGGGCTGTTCGAAGGTAAAGCAACCTCGACTAAGAGTCATCGGGCCGAGGCCCCGGGCTCGAGTCCAGTCAATCAGAGAGGCCAAATAGGCGGTGGATGGCAACGGCACGCTCTCACCAGCTGACCCAACAGATCCGAGCTCGGTCCGAGTTGTAGAGTTCTCCGAGGCAGGCCTTACCAGAGTCATGTTGAGTGAATACATTCCAGTCAACCTTGCGAGTCCCGCATGGCAATCACCACGAGTGAAATAGCACGACTGGCATTCCTCCATTCCCTTTAGTGAGGTCCTGTCTAGCATTCCATTGGTCAAAGTCACCATCATCCTGTCCAATCAGACGCAAGAGTCAGCAATAGGCTTTGCTCCACCAGATTGGCCCATATTTGCTTTAAGCCTCGTTTCGGAATGCCATGTCAGACGGAGGTGTTCATTCCGACGGCCCTAGCGTCTTGACGATTGCGTGACTCAACAGCACAAAAGCGAGTGACCCGACAGCCTTTCCTACGTTGTTGCTGTGATGCTACATCCTCTGACATTTCCTTTCAGATTCCTATCAGGCGGACCTTTGCAAAAGACTCTTTCAAGCAAACAAATACTTCTAAGGCCTAGATCAGATCGCAAGAGACTCTTAGAGAAGGAAACCTACACCCAACCTTCTCTTGCGGGTTCTTCCCTCCTGCACCCAAGCACGCAGTCACACACATGCAACTATATGCATAAAAATGGATAGACACACACACACACACACAGATGGATACCTGTTAAATAAAAAAATTAGATAAAGTTTTACAAAAGTAAGAGAGATTAAGCGAATAAAATTGGGTTTTGAGAAGTCTCCTGTTTCAGAATTGTTGAGATTATTTCCATTTCGAGTGAAGTTGGTGAGACTCGAAAGTCGATCCCACCAGAAGACGACGGTGGATTCCTCCTGACCAGCTATCGAATGGCTTTACCGGAACATTCTCGTTAATGCTGTTGCCAAGGCAATCGAGTTGGTTTCCATCGTACGACAGACATTATCGGTGGAGGGAGTGTATAAACTTTACATGAGATGTATTCACCCAATTTCGTTCAAGATGATAAGGAGCCCAGTAGCTCAATTTTCCCAAAATCATATGAGTAGAGCTGATGCTTTTATTGAATTCTATATAGACTTGCTTTCCCAAAAGGCGTTCTGATTTCGGGTTGACTACCCTTGACCTTGACTCGATCTTATAAGCACCGCCGACAGGACTCGAATCGTGACAATGCAACGTTTAATTTCGACACGATAACCAATACTCCGCATTGCCCCGAGTGTCGTTGGGTCACAGGGAACATTTTAATTTCAGTGAAGACCGGGCTCTTTCCCATATCACATTCTGTGGTGGGACTGTTAATAAGGCAATGCTACATTTTTTATAACAATCTACTATATAACTTGATTTTTGTTTATAATTATGGTATTGGGACTACCACTAAATCAGTAATATAGGATTATTCATCCTATTTTGTCTAACTACGAATCCTTCATCACCTTAAACTAAATTAGAGGAATACCTCATATAACCGATTCAATGGTCACCTCGAAGTCCTAATTATAAACGAATAATCATCCTTAGAGCCATATTTAAGTTAGAAATTCAATAAAACTCACCGATTCATCCTTAAAATGCAGTATATATACATACATATTTATATTCAATATCTGATCAA